AAAAAAAAAAGAAAGTAAAAAGAGATGATAAGAAGAGGAGAAAGGGGAGAAAGGGAAATTGAAGGGGGGAAGAGACACTAGAAAGACAGAATTCAACAAGTATGTCTTTTAAAGTTGAATAAAGAGGAACCCTCAACGCGTAGTATATATGTATAGGGCTCTTGCTATTATTAGGCGAAATTTTATTACTGGCTAGATGTATGTGGTTAAACATGAAATGTTGAATAAAGCTTAAAGAGACAACCATCATCTTTTTAATACAAATTACATACAAAAAGATCGACATACAATCATATTAAAAAGGGAAAACAGCTACTTTATTATCTCGTACACGATTATTCTGCAGATCCAAAATCACTAAATAATCTCCTTTCATGTAACATACACACAGTTTCAAACAAGGTACAATTGACCGTTAGTTATATACAATAGTGCATTACTGCTATCAATATAGTTTATCTCAACACTATCAAATAGAATACCCTTCAAAGTATCCGTAATATTACTAATAGCAAATAACAAGTCTATCGATATTAATGTACTTTCTGACTATTGCAAGTGATTATTTACAACCTGGCTTAAACATATACTAGTGAAACAGATAGTCCAAGACTAACTTTTACGGCCAACTATCGGCTTATGATTACATCGACTTATGGTTACATTGGCTTGTTTTACATTCACATATATGCAAAACTTGAATGGCTTGCACAATCTTTCCCAGAGCTGTGAAATAATAAAGTAAAAACAGACAGTGTTGGTTTCCTCAACACGCTCTTTCTTTGAATAGCACGTTTCATGATCTACAGATGATCAAACACACAACAAATGATGCTTTTATTGACAATCTATCATATCATTTCAAGTAATGTGCAGGCGTCATAATCTACTATCCCTGGTTCCCTTGGCAACATTGGCTTTGTAGTACACTGTCTAATATCATTATTCACGCTTCCTTTTGCTATTTCTCTCTTTCGTAAGAGCATTTGTTATTACCATGATTTTAATATATGGTCTTATTGTTTTATATGATAAGCTTGGTATTTATTATGTATCTCGCTGTTTCACTAATAATAACAGTAAAGTGACACTTTATCTTTTTTCGTATTATTGTTATTATTGTAGCCTTTTTAATCCAAATAGGCTCATTACGTCTTTATAAAATAAAGAATAGTAAATGTGTGGGTATAAAAGTGAAATAATAGTAAAACCTATTTCACAATGCTGATAAAATTAACTGACTCACTAATATCACTTCTTTTTTCTAAGTAACATTAAGATTATAATACTACTATTATTTTTATTCAAACAGAGAGAGAATAAGGAGTAATGAAAGAGGAGAAGATGGCTATTTTTCAATTTAACATGTCGCATTAAACTGTATTTTTAAGTAAGACAGTTTAAATTTTCATTGGTAAATAGGCTCATCTTTTCCTAAAACAGGAAAACGCATTTTCTTTTTTTTGGGCTCTTTTCTTTTTCACTTTCTTTCTTTCTTTCTTGTAAACAGACACACAATAAAATAAAAAAATAACCAAGAACACATGTCCTCCCGTTGCTTAGATACCAGGACAAGTTCGTTCATCTATACACCGTCTTCTTCCAATAACCAATCACCACAGCAAGAGTCAAATGACTATTATTTTAGAAGCAGTGATACAGTGGTGGTTGATGTCGAGAATAAACGTAGGACATCCTCATCAGGTGATATGGTTCGACCTATGAAAGAGCAACCTTGCTTAAAGAGCCATTCGTTTCCCTTAAAGACTCACTTGGTGAGCCATAACAGTAATAACAATACGGCCGTGTCTACAACAACAACAACAACAACAACAACTGCTGCGACATTACCGACACCGACAAAACTTGGGAGATACAAACAAAATAAACTTTACAGAAAAGAAAAATTAAAAGAAGCAAAAAACGACTACGAAGACAGGATTGAAGAGTATTTTAAGCAATTGACCGTTGGTTGCCAACAAAGAGATTGTCGAAACAAGTTTTGTGCATCAGGTCGAGGTAAATACAAAACTAAAAAGGAAACTATAGTCGCAGACCACTAAAATAGAAACCATAAAGGTGGCATACTTAATTTACAACCTCAAGCAGCCTTCATTATGGCAATTCAACTTGCATCTATGCCAGAATCAAGGCTGTGTACGACAACTAAACAGCCAACAAAGAAAAAGATATCACTTCCAGAAAAAAATACCACGGGACAACAAGACAAACATGCACCCAAGTCATTCTTACAGTCTCTGTTCAGTTCTACATCATTTTCAAATCTACTAGAAAACAATAAAAAGGGCAGCAGAAGGACAAAGGCATCGTTAGCACCCAAGAAGCACTGGGCAACTGATTTTTGGGAGCTTTTTAGTTATTCTAAAAAGATTCAACAGCAGCAACAACAAGAAGAACAAGCCAACATCGATGCCGAGTCAAGTGAAGACGATGAAAGTTATTATCAAATCGACAGTGATCATAGTAGTTTATCGTCTAATGATTGCTTCACTATCAACAATAACATCAATCATCGAGGCATGCTTCTTGATATCACACCTATATCCGTTCAATTAGACACAGCCACTCAATATTTACACCAGTACATCGTCGCACGTACTATCACCGAACAGCAAATGGAAAAATGGTGCCGATCCGTCTTCCAAAGTTGGGAAGCGATTGGTGAAAGCTTTCTTTCTTTAACCGCTTTTACTGATATATACAGTCTTCATCGAGTGCCATTGATCGATTTAGATGATCTCAATCAATTCTTTCAACTGGTCATTTATCAAGACAACCCAAAAGCTAAAAATCCTAGACAATTACGTCTTATGGAATCTATCTCAGACAGTCTTGAGACGCTACTTGATCGTATCCTCTTGAATGTGGGTGCTTTGGACGAAATTGAAGTTTTGGAGGACATAGAAGGCGATCATATGCGTATCATGGTCGAGTGGTGTCGCTCACTGATGGCCGTCTTGGAATGGATCTTTTGCTGGAATAAAGGGCCTGTGGAGGCATTTACGAGCCATGTCATGTTGATGCAGAAATACATCCAAGTCCTGAGCAAGATAGCCCGAAACAAGCGATCAGTATTACGAAACATGATGCAAAACATGTTCTCTAATCTGGACTCTGCTCGAATGACATGGATGGTGCAAGATTTACATCAATATCTGTCTGATCATTTTCATACAGGTCCTTATAAACATGGATCGGAAGATACGGTCGTGATGACATTGAAGTGTTTAGAGCTCATATGTAAGTCAATAACATTCTATACAAAACAAATATATTCACATGGGTTTATAGACCAAGCTAATATGAAGGCGCCCAGCCATCCTATTGTGTCGCCTGATGTATTTTATAATCTAGCCATTGCCAAGAAACTGAACATCAAGAATGAATACCGCATTTGGAAACGAGTTTTACTGCACGGTGAAGGAAGACATCTGTTCTCTCGAGAGGGTGGAAGTCATCAGCGTCGCTCACGGCTATTCATGACCACATCTTCTATCTTATTACCTTATCCGTTAGAAAACGAATACCAATTCTCTTGGTTTGCTTATCCCTTCTTACTGCCCCCTTCTATTAAGCGCAAGATTGTTCTCATGGATGCCATGTCTCAGATGTCATTGGAATACGAAGATGCTTGTGTGAATCATACCCTTGTTGTCCACGCACAGAAGCTCCTTTCGGAAGCACCAAGTATGCTTAAGGACCTCGAAACAAACCTACGAAGCGCTACTTGTCCTTACTTACTTCTCGAGATTCGTCGAGAATACTTTGTTGAAGACACGCTCCAGCAAGTATCGCGCAAGTGGAGTGATCTGAAGAAACCCCTGAAAATCAAGTTTGTCGAGGGCGGTGAAGAAGGGATGGATCAGGGAGGTGTTCAAAAGGAGTTCTTTGGTGTGCTCTTTGAAAAACTTATTTCTCCCGAGCTTGGTCTCTTTTTCCAGGACGAATCCACTCGACTGTGCTGGATACGGCCAGTGGTTAATCCAGACATTCGCATGTATGAGCTTGTAGGCGTCATGATGGGTCTATCGATCTATAATGGTGTCATGATGAATTTACAGTTCCCAAGGGTGTTCTGGAAAGTGCTCGTGATGCCAAGCGAAGCCTTGGTAGATGCCTTGGCTGAACGTCAACAGCAGTTATTTACTCTTGAGGACCTTGAAGAAGGCTGGCCTACTTTGGGACAAGGGTTACGGCAGTTACTCGAGTGGCAAGATGGCAATGTCGAAGACATTTTTTGCCGAGACTATGAGATATCATATGAAGTCTTTGGTCGTGGCGTCATCACTCAATCACTCATGCGTCATCCAGATGATCCAGTGGTGCCCGTGACAAATGCGAATAGAGAAGCATATGTGAAGGACTATTGCACATATTTTATGTACACTGCACAAAGAGAACAAATACTGGCATTACGTCGTGGTATGTGGAGCGTGATAGGAAGTCGAGCACTTTATCTCTGTACAGCAGAGGAATTAGAGATGGTCGCCTGTGGCCAGCGACAAGGACCCGATGCGATTGAACTCAACATGTCTGAACTGGAGGCTGTTGCTGAATATGACGAGTATACGGCAGATCACCCAACTATCAGGCAGTTTTGGTCTGTGGTTCATCATGATCTTACTGCTGAGCAAAAGAGACAGCTACTCTTATTTGTGACAGCAAGTGATCGAGTGCCTGTTGGCGGACTAAAAGAATTGACATTCTATATTCAAAGAAATGGTCCTGATAGTGATAGGTACGTGTATAATCATGATCTTTAAACATCATCTCTAATATTCAATAGATTACCTACTGCACTTACATGTTTCAGTAGACTTTTACTACCTGAGTATTCTTGTCGATCAAAATTACGAGATAGACTGATTACTGCTATTGAAAACACCAAAGGATTTGGTCTTGTATAGTTTTATATATGTGTATGTGTGTTTTCTTGTACAAATTCTCTTTTTGCCCTAATAATCTAAAGGGCATCCCCCACTGTTACCCCATTCCATTATGGATGTATGAATAATAAAGAGAAATCGTTTTATTTATATAAAATGTCTTAGCGGAAATCAGCAGCTTTGCCAGTCTAATGATAAAAGGGGGAGTGTGAGTTAATTTACCATTGAATATATTAAACTTACGGTCAATAGGCCAACGATAAGTCCAAAGAGACCAAGAACGGAGCCAAAGATTTCGACGACCAAGACCTTGACAAACAGTTCTGGGTTCTGTGCATCAGCTAAGGCGGCGCTTGATCCTGTTACGCCTACAGAAAGACCACATAGCAGGTTACAGACACCAACAGTTAAACCACCCCAAAAGATAGCATGACCTAGCATATAGATGAATTTTTTCTTTCTTTTCTTTTCTTTTTTCTTTTTTACCAGTGAAAAAGTTGGAAGTAGAGTATAATCTCTCGGGAGGTACATCACTTAATTTAGCAGAATAAACAATAGCCATAATGACACCATAAATGGCGACAACTTCACAGAAAATAATGGAAATCAAGTTTCGAGATTGAATACGAGGTGTCTTGACTGCACCACCCAAAAGCGCTGAACCTGTAACAAAGATACCCCTTTACAATATAAAAAGAGACGCGCGTAAGATATACTTGTATATGTCATGTATAATATTTACCAAGCTGCACCAGTGACAGAAAGACCAATACAGAGACCCATACCGGTCATGGCCCAAGCATAAGGAGAAGTTTCTTGAAGTAATTTACCGACATTGAATTGTTCACCTGAGCCTGTGAAGAGCATATAAAGCCCAACAATAGTAAGAAAAGAAACTGTAGTCAAGGCCCAAGAGCTGTAGGGACCTAAGTAAACCGACATTTTTGTTGTTGTTTTTGTTGTTGTTGTAAAACGGGGTATTTGTAAAGATATTAAAAAGAAAGAGAAAGGTTTTGAAACACATACAAAAAATTAAAAAAACGATGATTAGGAGTTTAAAGTTTGTGAGTGGTGAAGTAGACAGCATTTTGTTAGATTAAGAATGAACTTGATAAAAGGTAGCTGAAGACGTAGAGGGCGTGCTACCGTATTTTGGTATAAATGTACTGCTATTATTGCTTTTTTGGGTATGAAGGCTAGCTCTATGACGACCAAAATATCCACTATTTGTACTTGGTCCTTCATGGTTACTATGGTGACCAAGCCAGTAGTTATGGTTACTTTGTTTGATTAGTGTCAAGTATCTCTCTTCTTCACGTATTTGACGTTCTACTATTATATCAAGCACTATGGATAGCACGAGTATGGTAGACTACAGAATGGTAAGCTTAAATAGTCATTTTATAAGACATTACCTGAAGAATGAGTAGAAATATGAGAATGAGAATGATCCATTGATGCCATTTCTGTATGAGTGATATGATGGAATATTTGCATCCTATATTTGTATTGAGTGAAAGAGAACAGTTTGCGGGTAAGGCACGATCTGTGATAGATTGATATCCACAGCAATGCAGTCTAACAATAATAATAGATGATCAATATCATGACTTTTTTTTTCTTGTTAAACTTACAATTGTTCTGTATTCATAATAAATTGAGGATCATGCTCAATGAAGAAATCCCACAGTATACTTGCATAAGGATCAAGCTGTATAAAATATATTTTGATATCAACTGAGTTCTATTTCTTGTATGTTTAAACTTTACTACTATCAAAATGACTTACTATTTGTGATCTATAGTTGTATACAACTGAAATGATTACTATTTAAAAACATTAGATAAATATATCAAGATCAATCATAATAGCATACCTAATTCAAATACGAGTATAATAGCATGAAGACCATTATATGTATTTAAAAATCCTGTATGCTCAAGTTGTGCCCCAAATAATCCAATGAAACTTGTGATTGTCATCATTCCGCCCAAAACCAAGAAAAATAGAGATATTGTCAGACTTATTGTTGAATTGATGTGATAGGCGCCTTAAAATAAATAAATAAATAAATAATCCAAGGTTCTCTCATTTTCTATTTTCTACCGATTGATATAATAAAGAGTCCAATAAACTTATAAAAAGTGAATATAATAAGTTAATGGTGAACATTGACTTTACCATTATAAACGAATGAAATGTTGACATGTACCGTCTCAACGTCTTTCCTTGTGAGCGTATATACAACATCCTTTCCTCCATTTCAAAATGTTGAACTTCTAAAAAAAAAGAAATTATTCCAAGAAAAAAAAAAGAAGAGAAAAAATTATAAAAAAACCACATGAAACGGTTTAAATACATGACATGGATTACATTAATTATTTTTTGGTTCTTGTGCTCTCTCTCTCTCTTTCTCTTTCTTTCTATGTCATTCAGTCGATCAAAAAGGGTGATATCATTCCTCTATATGTATCATCACTTGGTTTTCTTTTTTTTTTAAAAAATAAAAAACAGCATTGGACAAGAATAATAGACTCGGCATAAATTATGCCAAGCCAACCTTTCTTTGATATTACAACTGACAGAGAGGAGAAGGGGTGAACAATGCTTTATAATTATATTAGATCACAAATTGAAAATCAAAAAAAAAAATGAGGCATTCAATCTTTGATGTGGATAACAAATCCTCTCTTCTTTATGAAGCTTCTGCGGCAACCTTACAATTAAATGGGCAAGCTGCGCATCTGTTTATAACTTTTAATAATGAAATCCGATTTTATTGTAAAAGGGTCACACAGTAATCCTACATGATCCTGTCATGTGCCTCGTTTTCTTTTTTTCTGTCCCTGAATGTGATGAATGAGCACACACAGGTGCAGCTTTACTAAGCATTCCTCAACGTAAATAATATTTTGTAACAAAGTTTATTTTAAAAAGATTAAAGATAACCATTGACTTTGAGCGTCTTTTTACCATAAATATATGTATTTACTGTCACTGCTCCAAGTAAGGCAAGTGGTAATGGCTTACGAGACAAGATGGCCTTTTTAGCATGCAAAAATGCCCATGATAAACCCCAAGCTAAAATAAGAGAAATGAATTGAACTGATCTCTATATATGTATAGTTTTATGTTACCTGTTGCAATACCAGAACCATTGTCACTATCACCCGTATTCACTACATATCTAATACATATATTAAACCCATGATCAACATTGTTCTCTCTTTCATATTACCCTGCACCAGCAAAAATGGCTGAAAAGGCTATTGAAACGATGGGGTGTGGTAAACCAGGTGCGTTACGAAAAGATGCAGGAACGGTAGCCAAATCTAACAAACTATCAGTATTATATTATCATTTGGATCATTTGCATTACTAAAAGCAGATAGTGCCCACACAGGATAAGGAGACTCTGATTGTTTATCAATATGTTCAAAAAAATTCTCTGACATAGTGCTCAAGTATTGACTTTTTTTTTTCTCTCAGTTCACAGAAAAAATAAAGACACTATACTCCTAGTTATTATAACACTATTAACATTAGAAAAAAAAAAAACATGCAAGTAACACGAGCATTTTACCGCACAAAAGCCGGATTAATAAAGAAAAGGACTGTTTTTT